AGCACTCAGGTCGTCTGTTAGTCTGTCTTTTCTATCAGATTTGATATAATTCAAAACTGACAAGAGCTGCTTACAAGCATAAGATGATCCAAACAAAGTAAGGAAAGCAATCCCAAGTGCTTTTATTGACAATAATTATTTGGTAGAGAATTCCCCAGTTTAAGGATTTCATTTTCAGAACTACCAACTGTGCTGTCCTTTGTCACCCCCTCACACTCTGTCTTTTCTATCTTCTCAAGTGTTGCCCACATGTCACAGAGTTTATTTTTCCAAGTACAGCTTTCTTGAAGATATAATAGCCTCATTTCTAGATTACCAAAATCTAACCAGTATAAGCGGGAAAGATCAAGTTCTTCAAGTTTGGCTTTATCTGGAGAAGAAAACATGGCGGTCTCCATCTTAAAGAAGTGTGAAAATCTGTTACCTCACAGCTACTATAATGCTAGAAAAATTCCTTTAGATTTCCTGTTGTGTAGGATTGTCTGCAAATGCTGGAGAATTTTCTAATGCATTTTTAGATTTGGGAAATATTTTAGCTGCGCACTTTCAAGATCTCTTCTGAAAACCTGCAGTTTTCTCTCAAATGTTTGATATCACAAAACATCCTTTCTGTTGTTTTCCCTACATCTTGTAGTTTTTTGCTCAAATACATTGAAGTCTAGGGTAAAATCTGTAGAAAACATGAGGTTGTTAAGCTAGGCCATATCAGTGAGCTGTGTATATTCCTGCCCTTTTTCATTCATAAACAACCTAATTTTATCCAAGCAGGCTACACATCTGTCCAGGACTTGCCCTCTGCTCAGCCACTGGAGATTATTGTACATAAGTATTATACTGTACTTGAATCTCATCAAAAAATTGTCAAAAATTAAGAGCATGAGTGATGATGTAATTCACCATTTTGTGACTTCTTTGAGGACATCATCTAATTTTTTGCTGATTTCCATGGCACAGAGTTTCTTGATGTCTAATACACAGAATCTGAATGACTGGATGTTTTGCTTCTTTAATAACAAAGACTGCATGAAAACAGATGTTGCCCCCACTATGCACGTGTCCTGTCACTCGTAATTGCAACTACTTTTTCTGATCTATATCTTGTGACAAAAGGCCTCCATCACAGCACTGTAGACACCTGTTCCTTGTCTTATTCCAGGCAGAGACACCAATTTCACCAGTTCTTCTCTCACAAAGTCACCAACAGCAGAACACAAAATTACTGCTAGCCCTCTATGATTATTTATCTGTGCTTTCATCCAAGCACATGGAATAACAACTGGCTACCTTTTGTAAGTCAGTGGCTTATTGCTCGCTAACATTGCTTGCCATGCCCAGGACTCGATCTTTAACAGTATTTCTGCTAAGTGGCATCGCAGAGATCTGTTGTGCAGTTTTATCCTTGTTTGGGAAATCATGAAAAAGGGAATTACTCCCAGATAACGTGGCCATTTGTTTCAGAAAGATAGTTGCAAAAAGTAAGATACTGGGAGTGATGTTTCCTCAATTTCCCTTCCAAGAAACTCTTTCCTTCAGCTTCACCAATTTTGGCAACACTTGTGTTGATGTCAAAGTGCTGTCTGACACTTGATGTGCAACACACAATACCTTTACTACACAGAACGCATAACACTTTCCCATTGCCTGACTCTGTCCAGGCCTCTTGGAGTGATCTTCCACTATTTGTTTTTGGTTTTGCTTTTTTTGCCGCTGTCATTTTTTGGTGTTCAAAACTTGGAGTCTCCAAAATACAAAACTTTAAAAATGAAGGACCCAATACAAATCTATCCCTATATCAGTTAACAAAGAATTGGATATTCTCTGAGTCAACAATCTGTGGCAGTGATTCTCAGCTGGGGCTCCTCTTGAATTTGATGACCACCAGAATAAGGGGACAGTGTTCAAATGAACACCAGCTTTTGGTCTGCTCTGAAAGAGGCATCTGCACACATTTCCTACCTTACAAGGGCTTCTGCTAAAATCCCAGCCAGTCGAAGGAAATATATATATACTTGCTCTTGTTTTTAAAAATTCTTCATAAACAGTTAAATATGATGCTGCAGATTCAGATATGCCAGGGGAACAGCACAATATTTAAAAATCTCATTCTCCTAATTAGAACATCTTTTTGCTAACTCTTAGATATTAAATTTCAGTTTTTCATCAGAAAACTCAAAGCTAAAATCTTGTGTTATCAAAAAAGAATGTATTAAAGCACACTACTAGTCCAAGAAAATATATATATATTTGGCAGTGCCCTGACTGGCCATGTCAAGGTTTGAATGAGTCACACCTAATGGGTCCTGGCTCGTGATGTCATCGTCTGAACTGCTACTCCTTTCTGAGCATGTGCATGGCATCTGTGTGTACTCTATGGGCTCTGTGATGCTCAGCTGCCAGGGCGATGCTCGGGTGATGTGACCCATGTGCTGACAGGGCTCTGCATGCCTGCAAGAGCATATGTGCATTGGCTTACTACCACTGGCCTAGAGCCTTGATACTACGTTCCATCCACAGCCTTGTTTTCGAGGCAGGGTCTCACTAAGTTGGCAAGTTGCCTGGGCTGGCTTGAACTTTCATTCGTCTTGCATCAGCCTCCCAGAGTGCTAGGATTACACATATGACCATGCCCACCTCGTGAATGCACATACATATAAATATATATACATATATAAATATGTATGTACTCATGCAAGTGCATATATGTACTACACAGTCTCATATATTTATTGTGATCACCATTATCTTACAGTAAGAAGTGCACTTATGTATTTGTTCATTCTAATTATCATAATTTTATGATAGTAATATCCTGCTTTCTATGTTTTCATTTGATGCTTATTACTGCTAACTTTGGCTCTTGTTTTGAGTTTTGTTTCTGGTGGCTTCTGTAAACTAGTTTCCTCAAATGTAGTGGCTTAAAATGGTAGAAATAGATCATTTCACAGTTCTGGAGGTGAGGAGCCCAAAATTAGTTTCACGGAATCAAAAGCAAGGTGTCAGTAGGGCCATGATCTCTCCATCAGTTTTAGAGGAAAATTTGTTTCTTGACTTCCCCAGCTTTTTGTGCCTTCTGGCATTCCTTCACTTGTTGCCACAATGGATCACTTTCTGCCTGCATCCTTGCATCCCATTCTCTTTCTGAATGTCAAATCGCTCTCTACCTGTCTCTTATAAGGGCATTTATTAGGGGCTGGGGGATTTAGCTCAGTGGTACAGCGCCTGCCTGGCAAGCACAAGGTCGTGAGTTCGATTCCTGGTACCGGAAAAAAAAAACAAAAAAAAAAAGGGTGTTTATTGTCTATCCGGATAATCTGGAATTATTCCTAATCTCAGTTCCCGTAAATTAATCACATCTGCAAAGGTCCTTTTTCTTCATAAGGTAACATTTACAGGATCTAGAGAAGAGGGCATAGTGTCTTTGGGTGGCCACTTTGCAGCCTGCTGTAGTCGTGACCAGGTCAGTGAGAAGCCCTTTACAAAGTTGAGGTTTGGTGGAGACTTAAGGCAACAAAAGAAAAACAGTAGAAACATAACACATATTTGGATTGCTGGGCCCACCAAAATATCCGTGACTGTAATTAGTCTGACTCTAAAGTTAGGACCAGATGGAAAATGAAGGTACTGAACCTTCACTTTAGATTCATTACAATGGAGCTTTTGAGTCCTTGTTCACATGATGTGGGGACCTTAACACCTACTGCAGTTGGCAGTTAATAAAAGCAGGCACATTCAAGGCTCTGTTTTTCTTTTTATAACTCATATATCTCCTTTTACATTGTGAATAACTGTTTCGATCCCTTTACTCTTCAACTACCCAAATCTGGAAGTCCTCCTCTTGGTAGAACGGAGTAATGTTTAAAGCCTTCTCTGGCTAGTAGTATAAATCTCTAAAAGCAAGGAACAAGCAAATGGCATACTGTGAGAAAACAAGGTTGGTGGTAGAGGTTTTTTTCTTTAATTTTTTGCTCATTATTAAATCACAAAGTATTTAGTCATATCCTAAGTTATAGCCATATTTCCCTTCAAGGGAAAGTTGATGATATTAAAATTTCAATGAACAGGTAGAGGTGGCCCTGCTTGGTGTAATTTCTTTAAGTAGTATGGTGATATGCTTGGGATAAGCATTTCTCTAAGTAGTATGTGATAAGCCTGATGCAGTGCTTATCCTAAAAAATAGTACATGGTTCATTTCCTTCTTTTCCCCAAATGAAGCATAAGTTGCAGATTTGAGGGAGATAAAATAGCTCTGCTTCTCTGAATAACAAGTCAAAATATGTCTGTATTGGAGTTATTAGATAGAGGTAAGAAATGAACACAAACAAATTTGTTTTATTATGTTTGTGTTTTAAGTTAGTTTAGAAAGTCTTCCTGAATGAAGAGAGATCTGAGATATTTAAATAACTAGTTTTTGGGGATTTTTTGAGGGGGTTCTGGGACTCGAACTCAGGTCCTTGTGCTGCTGGCTAGGTGCTGAGCCACTCAGCTACATCCCTGGCCCTGTAGTTTTCAAATATTGGGGTTGAAGGGATTCAAGTAAATAAGGAAAAAAAAAGTTTGAGGGGAACTAGAAATAGAGTTTTCTAGCAAAGAGCGATGAAAGCCATTAGTCCTACAAGGACCAGTTGAAGAAACAACTATTGAAAATATGAGTAGAATGTAAGGAATGTGACTGTTCAATAATTCGAAGTGTATTAATTTAGACTTTTAACTTCTGTATATACTTAATATAAACGATACATTTTTTCCTTAACTATATATTTTAAAATTGATTTAACAGTCCTTAAATCAAGTTTCGAAGTTATCAAGTTATTATCTTAGAATAACTGCAATCATGTCATTAAACACTATAAGCAGATCAAAGTTTCCTGACAAGTAATCCTCTTGTCTTAGGTCTGGCATTTTTGAATAATAGGGACCTGTTTTCCTGTTGGAACACTTAGTACACTTGGTATTAAGACTTTAACCTGTTTTGTTTTCTTTTCTCCCCCTTTCATTGGTAGCTTAGTCAGACCATGAAACTGGCACGTCACCGGCTGGCATCCTTTAAAACTGTGAGTGAAAAAATGACAGCAGTGTTTCCAAATGATAAAAGGAAAACCTCTCCCATCCAAGAGGTAAATGAATTTCTAATACACTGTTTATAAAGATGCCGGTTAAAAAATACAGATAAACTTTAGTTGAGCAAAGTCTATAATTTCACACATTTTATTTTAGTAATTTGTTTGATCACCATATCATTTTGAGATTATTTTAGGAATTACATGGAAAACCTAGAGTGTTGCTATTACCCTAACGTTCTATATTTGGTATTTATGTTTTCTTTTAGAAAGTAAAATTCAAAAATCCATTATTTGTTGTAATGGAAGAGAAAGAACAAAATCAATGGCATTATCAGGGCCTTCAGAATATTCCGCCAGAATCCCAGGGTGATTTGATGGAAGTCCACAGTGTTGGGCCTGAAGCTCAGAGTGTTGAGCCAGATCTTCAGGCTGTTAAGCTGGCAGTTCCGTCTACTGAGGCAGAAAGCCAGGCCGTTGAGCCAGAAGGCCAGGCTATTAAGACAAAAACTCAGGGAATTATGTTAAAAACCTGTGGTATCAAGCTAGAAGATGGAAATATTGAGCTGGAAGCCCAGGATTTTCTACCCTCAAATCAGGCCTTTCTACCCAAAGACCAAGGCATTCTACCTAAAGACAACTGTGTTTTCCCTGAAGGTCAGAATACTCCACACAAATACCAGGACCAGAATTTTCTACATAAAGACCAGGATTTTCTACCTAGGAACCAACATGTTTACTCCAAAGAGCAGGATATTCTGCTCAAATGTCAGGATGAGGATTTTATACCTGAAGACCAGGATTTTCGTCATAGAGACCAGTGTGTACTTCCCCAAGACCAGGACCAAGACTTTCTACCTGAAGATCAGAGTTTTCTACCAGGAGACCAGTGTGTTCTTCCCCGAAATGAGAATATTGTACCTAAATGTCAGGACCATGATTTTCTACCGAAAGGCCAAGAATTTCTCTCTGAAGACCACAGTATAATACTCAACTATCAAGACCAGGATTTTCTTCCCAAAGACCAGAGTGTTCTTCCTAAAGACCAGAATATTCTAGGCAAATGTCAGAAGCAAGATTTTCCATCCAAAGATCAGGTAAAATAGAGTAGAAAGGAGATTTAAGAAGAAGAAATGAGCTACTGAGGGTTAGCTACTTAGAACTACTTGGAGTGGGATTTGTAAGGATTATTTTGTAGCTGATTTAGAGAATCATAGTAAGAAAATAGTTTCTTGATTGGTTTCTCAAAACTCCAGGGTTCATACTGTGTTAAAGTGTTACCAGCACATATTGCCCCATCTAGGCAATTACTTACTTGTTTTCAATCTTCATTAGGGAAACTATTTCTGTCAGCCAGCCTCTGCTTTGATAGCTGAAAGATGGAAAAAGGAGTGGCTCATAAGTACCCAACAGCATCTTTCACACAGGTTCCAAGGTCAGCCTTCCACCAGAGATCAGTTAGAGCAAAAGGACGAAGGGGATCAACAGGAAGTAAGTTACTTAGGGTGTGGCTGGGCAGCAAAGCCCTTTATTCACTGACCTCAAATTAACTCCAGATTTGTCATTGAAGCCCAAAGCTTTACATTAATTTGTCATTCCTAAGTGAACAATTAATTTTTTGTGTTTACTTTTTTTAGAAAGCAAATTTGAAGCAGCCAGCATCCATTCTGATAGTCAGGCAAGGGAAAGAGGAGCTTCCTCTGGATACCCTTCAGGATCTGTTCAGATGTCATCAGACCTTCACCAGGGACAAGGTAGAACAGGAAAGGGATGGAGGTCAGCAAGAATGGAACTGTTGAGGGTTGAGTTTTGAGCTTACAAAAACTGTTAAACTAAACTGATAAAAAGCAGAACTGATAAAAAGCACAGTTTCTGTTTTATTCCATGATATTTCATTTTGCCCTGAGTAAATTACCCTAAGCTTCTCCACAAAGCTGATATTATTGCTATCATAGCACTGCTACTGGATACCTTTTAGTCTGTGTTTTGTTTTTTTTTTTTTTTCTTTTAGAAAGTCCACTTTAAAAAGGATCCACTCTTTGATATGACAGATGAGGAAGAGAGAAGAGACATTTCTCTGGAAGGTTATCAGTATCTGCCTCCCAAACCCCAATGCCAGAACTTCATCAAAGAGCAGGTAGAGCAGCATAAAAACAGATAAAGAAATGGAAAATAAAATAGCTGGGTTTTATAAATTCTGAACAACTGGTAATTTGAAATACAGAATCAGGAACTTTGGGGTTAAGCTAAAAGTACATCTTTGATTCCTTCTGTTATTAGTAGGATGATAGTCCTACATATTAGAACAACACGCTTGCTTCAGGAAGGATGCATAGGGTGTTAAGCCCTGATAGCTCAGTTCCTATTGGTCTTCTCTTTTTCTCTCATCTACCCCACACCTAATGATATAAGAGACCCTGTTTTACTAAACTATAAAGATGAAATCAGTTCTGCCGTTTGACAGGCTGATATATCAGACTATTTAAATTTACTGCGATTATTTTCCAATTCTTGCTAAAGCCCACAGTATTACTACAAGCCTACTGACCCTACATGAACAAATTAGGAGTTAGGAAGAAGTAGTAGTGGTGGCTCATGCCTGTAATCTTAGCACTGTGGGAGGCTGAGGGAAAGGATTCCAAGTTAGAGTGTAGCCAGGGAAACTTAGTGACTTAGTGAGAACCTGTCTCAAAAGTAAAAAGTGAAAATAGGAGTAGGGGTGTAGCTTTAGGCCTGGGTTCAATCCTCGATACTGGGAAAAAAAAAAAAGACACTTTCCCAGACTCATCTGTCTGTGGTTTTGGATTCAGGATTAAACTACAAAATTGGGTTAAAAGTGTAATATCTTTACTCTTCTCAAAACTAGTATCCTTGCTGAAGCCTGCAAAAATTAGCATATTACCCTGGTAAGTTTTTTTTGTTTGTTTTTGTTGTTCCTTTAGAACAGGTTTCTCAACCAAACCTCATCTTTTATGACAGAAGAAAGAATGAGAGAGCAGTTGCCTCCGCAGTATCAGCAGTATGTCCCACCTCAGATCCAGGACAAATCCTCCTCTAGACAACAGGTAGAGCAGCATAGAGAAGGTGTGATCAAAAAGATATTGAATGTTTAAGTTTTTAAAAAATTATTGTAGTAAAAGATACAGTTCCACTTACCTCCCTCAAAACATTCTCCCTTGCTTTGAACACATTCTTTGCATCATTCTTAACACTTTCTGAAGTAGCACTTAAAGTTCTCTTTCATGAGGGTCTTCAGTTTTGCTGTGTGACTGCTTTAATGCCCTGATTCAGTTCAAAATCTTTGTTTTTTACGATCATTGTGACTTTGGAGATGAGCTAGAGGTTGCAAGGTGTCAGTCTGGTGAATAAGGTGGGTGAGGCCACACCATTATGTTTCTGTTTGACAGACATTGTTCCAAATGTTTGATCAGTGCAGGGTGTTCCAAATATATGCTGAGTGTTTAGATTAAGAAATTTATTACTGTGAAAGACATTGCTAATAATCCTCAAAAATACTTCAAACACACTTATCCTATCATTCTTGGCAATGTGTCTTTTACTTTAATAAGTTTTTTATAAATTTAAACATTCACCATATCTTGTGATCACCCCTTATACTTTCCAAATGAGAAATAAGACTAATTACTTAAGATTGGACTGAAGTTTATCAAGCTGGCTTATATGTGGATTATATAGATTTAAGACCTCCAGAGCTAGGCTAACAGTAAAATAAAATGTCTTTAGTTATATTGAAATGTGCCAAAATCTCTGATTTGCTTTAGAATATTCCTGGAAAAGTTGGAGAAGAGATTAAAAGGCAAAATGTTGCTACTTGTTCAAGTTGAGTGATGTCTACCTTGGGCTTCATCATATTTCTTTTCACTTCAGTGTAAGGTTGGAAATGTTTATGTTACACACACACACACACACACACACACACACACACACAAACATGGACACATAGGCATGCATGCACATACCTAACTATTCTGTTAGCCTCACCTCGTGTCATTATTCTGGGATTAAACTCTAAGTAGAGCTCTATCAGCTCTACTTAGTCAGTTTTGTATCTTGTTATTCTTTTAGAACAAGTATATCAAACAACTTTTATCTTTGGAGATATGGGAGATTGGGAAAGGTGTTCTTTCTGCAGAGCAGTGCCTTGGTTTTCCCAGTATTCAAGACCTGATCTTTCCTGGAGAATAAGGAAAATGAAATATAGTGATGAGTAGTTAGCAGAGAGTTAAGTATTTAGGTTTTTGGCTCAAGATCACGGCAGTGTAGAACTGCTTCAGGGGATTAGTGTTAAGGTCAGTAATAATGGGCAAGGAATGCAATGTCCTCTTGTTTTTGGATGTATCACACCACTCTGATTGTTTGAAACTACTTTAGGCCTCTTCAACTGAAGCTTTTCCGGTTGGCACAGGAATCCTCTTCTTACTTGGATAATTTATGCCGTTGTTTATGTTGTCTTTCAGCACAGGAACTGTGGGCTGGCATCACATGATCTGACAAATGAGAGAAGGAGAAAGGACTTATTTCCCGAGTGTTCTGGATATGCTGTACATGAAACCCAGGATCCTGCTTCTGCCAGAGAGCAGGTAGAGCACAGTATAGTAAAGAGTATGCAACAGAAAGTAAGTTTGTGAGTTTGGGCTGGGCTATCAGAGCTATGTTACTAACAAAGATGGTGATGGTAGTGTTATTGCTTATTACTATTAGCAATATTGTTATCATAAATAACATTGTTTTCATTGAGTACTTACAGCCACATGCTTTTACAAGTTTGAATCAATGTCTCATTTAATTCTTGCAATTAATCTGGGAGATTGATACTAATATCCTTTTTTTATAGATGGAATTTGAGATTGCTTTGTGGTAGAATTAAGATTCATAAGAATAGCAAAAAAATGTACTGGCTATATTTATACCATAATATGTAAGAATACTTTGACCCGTTTAGATTACTTCAGGGTTATTACTGAAACTTACAGCATTATCACTACAATTATGTCTGTGCTTACAATTTGACAAGTGCTGTTGGGTTTTTTAGAGCTTATATGCTGTGCAGAAAGCATCTGGTGGGACAGCTGAACGACAGCGAGAAGATTTGCTTGTAGAACACCATCAACATCTTATGCCCAGGGACCAGAGAGGACCTTGCAGTGGACAGCAGGTACAGCAGACATCAAGAGTATGGGAGTGGAACTTAGATGCTGTTCTAGGTATCTGATAAGGGCAAGGCTGTTACAAGACAGATTCCTGTTTTATTTATAACCTATTTCAAGATTATTTTATTATTATTTTTTAAACTTTTGGTTCTTACTACTTTTTCATCATGAGGAGTTGGCACATGTATATAATGCATCTTAATTCTTTTTCTTTTCCTTCCCCTCTCCTTTTTCTGCCCTTGCTCCATCCTTTGGTCCCTTCCCCATTTGCAAAAGATCTGTCTTCCTGCTTCCTATTTTCTTTTATTTTGCTCTTTAATTTATGTATACTTCGGGTTTCTTGCATAAGAGAAACCATGCAATATTTAATATTGTGTGTCTGATTTATTTCGTTAAACATTAGTCTCATTATTATTATTATTATTATTATTATTTTGCCTTTTTGAGACAGAGTTTCACTATACAGTTCAGACTAGCCCAGACGGGCCTCGAACTCACAGTGCTCGTCCTGCCTCAGCCTCCTGAGTACTGGAATTACGGTCATGTGCCACTACACTTGGCCTACTTAACATTAGTCTTAAGGTGCATCTATTTTCCTATAAATGACTCAAATTTATTCTTCTTTGATGGCAAAGTAGTGTTCCATTTTGTATAAATACCACATTTACATTTTCTTTCTCCATTCATGTGTTTTGTTTGTTTTGATTTTATTTTTTGTTGTTATTTTGAGACAGGATCTTTCTCTGTCGGCCAGGCTGGTCTTGAACTTGCTGTAATCCAGACTGGCTTTGAACTTGTGATATTCCTGCCTCAGCCTCCTGAGTGTTAGGATTATAGGTATGTGCCACCATGCCTGGCTCATCATTTGTTGATAGATATAAAGGCCATTTCCAAAGTTTACCTGTTGTAAGTTGTGCTGCTACAAACATAAGTATGCATGTATCATTGTAATATGGTGTCTATAGCTCTTGCAGGCAGATAGATATATAGAAGAGGAATATCTGGGTCAAATAAAATTTTTTTCATTTTTTAAGGTATCTTCATACTGATTTTCATAGTGATTGTATTAGTTTACATTCCCACCAAAAATACAGAAGGGTTCCTTTTTTCCCCACAGCCTCACCAGCATTTGTTATTATTTGATTTCTTGATGGCGTAAGATAGTATCTCAGTATTGTTTTAATTTGCATTTTTCTAATGGCTAGATATGTTGAATATCTTTTCATGTATTTATTGGCATTTATGCTTCTTCTGGAAAGTGTCTGTTCATTTTAGGTTCCCACTTTTTGATTGAATCTTTTATTTTGGGAGGTCTGCATTTCGTTTAGTTCTTTGTATATTCTAAATATTAGCCTTCTGCCTGAGGTGTAGATAGCAAAATATTTTTCCCATTCTGTGTTTGTCTCTTCACCGTGTTGGTTGTTTCCTTTGCTGTACAGAGCTTTTTAATATGATGTGATTCCATTTGTTGATTCTTGATATTGTTTCTTGTGCAACTGGGGTTCTGTTCAGAAAGTCCTTATCTATGCCTCTGTGTTCAGGCACTTATTTTATCTTCTATCAGATTGTCTCTTAATATTTAGATCTTTGATCCATTTTGATTTTATTTTAGTACATAGTGAGAGGTAATGGGTTAGATTCAATCTTCTGCATGTGGATAGACAGTTTTCCCAGCACCATTTAATCACAGAGGTTATCTTTCCTCCAGTGTTAAGATTTTGGCCCTTTTGTCAAAGGACTGACAGCTGAATGTGCCTGGGGATTTTCTGCATCCTCTGTTCTGTTCCATTGATCCATTGTCTGTTTTTGTGTCATTACTGTGGTGGTTTTTTTTTTTTTTTTTTTAATTATCATAGCTTTGTAATATAATTTAAAATCTGAGTTTGTGATGCCTCCTGCTTTGCTCTTGCCCAGGATTGCTTTTGCTATTCTGGATCTTTTCTGGTTCCATATGAATTTTAGAATTGTTTTCTCTGGTACTGTGAGGAATGCTCTTGCTATTTTGATTGAGATTGCATTAAATCTGTGTATGTTTTGGAAGTATGGCCATTATGAGAACATTGGTTCTGTCTGTCCAGGAACAGGGGATGGCTTTCCATTTTCTGTTGTCCTCTTCAAATCTCTTTTCTGAAATTTGAAGATTCTCTTTTTTGTAGCTTTTGTTAGGTCTTTTACTTCCTTGGTTAGATTAATTCGTAACTATTTAATTTTTCTTGAATGTATTCTGAGTGGTATTGGTTTCCTAATTTCTTTCTTGATGGTTTCAGCATTAGTAGAAAAGAATACTGTTGATTTTTTATCCTGCTACTTTGATGAATTTATTAGCTTTAGGGGTCTTTTGGTGGAATTTTTTTGATCTTTTAGGTAAAAGACTATGTCATCTATAAACAAGGATAATTTGACTTCTTCCTTTCCTATACATATCCCTTTTATTTTTTTCTTTTGCCTGATTGCTGTGGCTAAAGTTTTAAGTACTATATTGAACAGGAATGGTGATAGTGGATATTCTTATCTTTGGGTGATCTTCCTGCCTCTACCTCTTGAATGCTGGAATTATAAGTATGTACCACTACACTCAGCTTGTTCTTGATTTTAGAGGAAAAGTTTTCAGTTTTTCCCATTCAGTATGATGTTGGCAGGAGGTTTGTCTTTTATCAGATTGAGATATGGTCATTCTATACTTATTTCTTCAGGTTTTTTTTTTATTATTATGAGCACATGTTGAATGTTGTCAATGGCTTTTTCAGGTGCTCCTGTGATTTTTGCCCTTGCTTCTATGTGATGTATTACATTTATTGATTTGCATATGTTGAGCCATCCTTGCATCCCTGGGATGATATCTTCTTGGTCATTATGTATGATCATTAATGATATGTTGCATTCTGTGTGCTAGTATCTTATTGAAGACTCTTGCATCTATATTCATTAAAGTGATTGGCCTGTATTTCTCTTTTTTTTTTTGTACCAGGAATTGAGCTCAGGACCTTGTGCTTGCCAGGCAGGTGCTTATGCAACTGAGCTATATCCCCAGCTCCAGTACTTCTCTTTTTCAATTGAAGTTTTCTTTTGTTTTAGAATCAAGATAATGTTAGCTTCCAGGAACGAGTTCAGCAATACTTCTCCCTTTTCAGTTTCATTAGAGTTTGAGGAATATTGTTAGATCTTACCTGAAGTTCTTTTTTTTTTGTTTTGCTTTTTTTTTTCTGGTACCAGGAATCAAACTCACGACCTTGTGCTTGCCAGGCAGGTGCTGTGCCGCTGAGCTAAATCCCCAGCCCCTTACCTGAAGTTCTTGTAGAATTCAGCAGTGAATCCTTCATATTCTCAGCTTTTCTTAGTTGGTAGTCTTTTTATTACTACTTCAATTTTATTACCTGCTATTAGAGTATTCTGGGGTTTTGTATCTTCTTGTTTCAGTTTTGTAAAATCATACGTATCTAAGAATCTACGTATTTTTTCTAGAGTCTCAAATTTATTGATGTATAGGTTTTTGAAGTAGTTACTAATAACCTGGGTTTTGCTGACATCCTTTATGATTTTGCCTTTCTCGTTCTAATTACATAGATGTGTCTTTTCTTTCCTCTTTTGGGTAACATTGGCTAAGGATTTGTTTATTTTGTCTGTTCTTTCAAAGAACCAGCTCTTTGATTTCTTGATTCTTTGTAATTCTTTGGTCTCAAATTATTTCTGCTCTAAAATGTACAATTTCCTTCCTTGTACTAGCTTTGGATTTGGATTGTTCTTGTTTTTCTGCTGCATCATTAGGTTATTTGAGCTTACTCTGTGGGGTTTCAGAGCTGTAAACTTCCCTCATAGGACTGTTTTTCCTGTGTCCCATGTGATACAGTATGTTTGATACTGGCATTGTTTGATTCTAGGAATTGTCTGATTTGTTCCTTGATTTCTTGTGACATATTGATTATTCAAGAGTATATTGTTTAATCTCTACTTGTCTCCACAATTTCTATACTTGCTATTGTTGTTGATTTCTAGTTTCATTGCACTATGATCTGATAATATGCCTGGGATAATTTTGATTCTTTTTATTTTTGTAAGCATGATTTATGGGCATGTGGTTTGTTTGGAGAATGTTCTGTGTACTGCTAAGAAGAATCCGTATTTTGTTGTTGGGTAGAACACTGTAGATATCCATTAAGTCCATTTGTTTAAAGATGTGGTTAAACTCTAGTATTCCTTTGTTGATATTTTTGCCTAATTAATGTGTGTATTTATGATAGTGGGTTGTTCAGGTCCCCTACTATAATTGTGATGATGTTCATCATATCTTTTAAGTTCACTAGTATTGTTTTATGAGGTTAGGTGCACCAGTGTTTGGTGCACATATATTTATAATTGTTATTTCTTATTGTTGAATTGCTCTTTTAACCAATATGTAGTGACCTTGGCTCTTTCAGAACAGTTTTGGCTTGAAGTCTACTTTGAAAATAAAATAGCTACTCCTGCTTGTTTTGGGGTTCCTGCTGCATGGAATATTGTTTTCCATCCTTCATTTTTAGTCCGTGGATTTCTTTTTGGATTAAATTTGTTAACTTGTATACAACATACTGTTGGGTTTTGTTTTTTGATCTAATCTGTCCATTTATTTCTTTTGATTAGGGGATTGAGATCATTCACATTGAGTTATTACTGAAAGGTGTTGACTTTTTCCTGTCATTGCATTATTTTCTTGTTACTGATTCCCTTTTTTCCCCTCTCTTCTGCTTAACTACTCACCCTACATGAGGTATTTATTCCACTAGTCTTTTTGGCCTTTCTGGCTTATTGTCTCCTTCTAAGGAATCTGTCTTGGTTACTTTTCTCTCACTGCTGAGACAAAATACCTTACACCCAAAATTAAGGAAATAAAGGTTTATTTAGCTCACAGTTTGTGGAGGTTTCATTCCATACTTGTTGGCTCCAAGGCAGAGTGGCACATGGCAGAGGGCAACAGTTCATGGCGACAGAAAAACAGCAGAAGCAACAAGAGCAGAAGAGGGGAGTGGCA